TTAAGGGGGTACAAATCTTACAGCAGTTATATAGGCCATTGGGTTATTGGGGAGGGGGTTAGGAATGTTGACCTTCTGGTGTTACAGACTGGGAGTGCCACACCAGATCTTTCAGTTTTCACTGACGATGGCTATCAGCATAGATTCTCAGTTCAGGGGTCATCACATTCCTAAGGAACTCAAAAAAACGAAGTTATCATCTTATCACAGCTGGGAGGTACATGCACAAGCGGGGGTCGTAAAATCTACAGAGCAGTTAGACCTCCTGGAGGGTGCATATCCAGCTGGGTTAGTTTGTCAGAGGTCATTCAAAGTCACAATAGAGTTTTTCTTTTCTACAATGGCTTACCTCATGTCAAACTTGCCTTGAGCCAGTATCAATTTGTCTGTTAAAGTTTCCAATAGGATCAAGGGGCTTACTCTGATTCTAGTTCTTTTTTTTTTTTTTTGAGGGATTTTTGTGTTTTGTGTTTTCTTTTGGTGGATAGAGTGGGGAGGGCAAGCATACTTAATAGATGGTTCTGTGTTCTTCCAACAGTAGATACATAATGTGTGGCTGTCTTTTTTCCCTGTTATTTTCAAGAGAAGGGCTTTCTTAGATTCATTGAATAGCAGAGCTGGCAGGTGCTTTAGATTACCTAATAACCTCATTTTATAGATGAGGGAACAGATACCTAGGGGTGGAAAAAGATAGGCTCAAAGTCACACAGCACATTATTGATGGAACCAGTTTTAATTAACTTATTCAGTTTTTGTTTTTTTCTGTTTATTGAGATATAATTGACACATAAAATTTGTATATATTTAAGATGTGTGACTTAATGTTTGGTGTATGTATACATTATGCAATAATTGCCGCAATAAAGCTAATTAACATATCTATCACCTCACATAGTTACCATTTTCTTTCTTTCTTTTTTTTTTGGTGGTAAGAACACTTAATATCTACCCTCTTAGCAAATTTCAAGTATACAATATTGTTCACTATATTCACATTGCTGTACATTAGATCTCAAGAACTTGTTTATTTTGCATATCTGAAACTTTGTACTTCTTGACTAACATCTCCCCATTTCCCCCTCCCTCAACCCTTGGCAACCACCATTCTACTCTCTGCCTCTGAGTTTGACTATTTTGGATTCCACATATAAGTGAGATCATGCAGTATTTGTCTTTCTGTGTCTGGTTTATTTCTCTTAACATAATGTCCTCCAGGTTTATCCATGTTGTTACAAATGGCAGGATTTCCTTATTTTTTAAGGGTGATTAATATTCCATTGTGTGTATATATTTATCTATAAGTGTCTGTGGACACTTAGGTTGTTTCCATGTCTTGGCTATTGTGAATAATGCTGCAGTGAACAGGGGAGTGCAGATATCTCTTTGAGATCCTGATTTCATTTCCTTTGGATATATACCCAGAAGTGGGATTGCTAGATCATAAGGTAGTTCTATTTTTATAGGCATTTTAATTTATGATCTCTGATCTAAACCACGTAATCAAATTATATTTTTCCCAAATTGGAGGTTTTTTACAACCTCCCTCTGATACCCATTCCTTTGTTTTAAATTTTGATGTTAAAGAAATTGTACCCATTTTCTCTAGTCCATGTGCACTAGAGAACTTAAGATTTCTTTGCTGTCAAATCATATCACAAACTCCTACTTAATTCACAACTAACAATGCCCTTATTTTTGGTTTCATTCATCGTATTGTCGATGCAAATAAACAATAATCAACCTATAGATTAAACATGAGGTAAGTTTAATATATGAGTTAGTCTGAGGACTATAGCCTGGAAGTGCTATCTCCACCAGGGAAGAAAGCACTCCAGAGAAGTGAGGTGTACAGCATGGTTATATACTGTTTTGGAACGTACATCAAACATGGCAGGAATACTTTTTTTTTTTTTTACTACAGTCACAAGATGTTTTGCTGTGTACACAGCAGGTCAATCTGACCCTGGTTTCTGGGGAAGAATGCTTATCTTCAAAGAAATGCTGATATGGGAGAGAGGCATTCATTCCTATCTTTAAAAGCAACATTCTTTGCTTTGGGATACTGTTTAATGTTTAAAGCAGATGTACAATGCATGCTTGACAGACCATAAGTCAGGCCATTCTGGAAAAACAAGTTCAGGCAAAATCAGTTTTAAACCAAAATGGCTTCCTGATATACTCCAATATATTAACTTTCATATTAATTTTATTGGTTGTCATTTATTCCATCATTAATCTACAATTTGGGGTGTGACTTTTGTCTCTTAATGGTTTTCAAAATGTATAATAAAGGGAGAGATGTCAAATGGAAAGAAATCTCCTCAAAGAATAGGTTGTCTTCCAAATCTCACAAGAAAGGAAGGAAAAGAGTGTCCTAAACGGGATACCAGGAACCTCCCTCTGAGAAATAAACGTTGGCTCTAGCCTAAAGGGGCTCGCACAGGGGCTTTGATTTCTTGAAAGGAACTAGACAAGCAAGCAGTAAGATGCAATGGGATGAAAGACTTGGAGCCCAACAGATATGGGTTTGAATCCCTGTATTGCCATGTATTCACAAACTGTGTGACCTTGACTAAGTGATTTACCGTCTGTGAACCTAGGATTAAGAGATAAAATACTCTGCCTTTTGGTGTTATAAGGATTAAGTGAGCTCTGGCATATTCAACCAAAGTCATTTCCTTTCAAAGCTCACAAAAGGAGACAAGCATTCACACATGCTGGAGGCTGTTGTCTCACAAGTGTCATTCCTTACCTTGTTACTAGTGGTTTAGCCATTCTGGATCACTTGGTGGCAGCATGGAGTTGCTTTTCTATTTTAACATCTTAAAAAATTCTATCACTAAAGAATAAGGGTTAATTGCAGAAGTATTTAAACTGTTAAAAGGGACCCATCACCAGCCCAGCAATACCAAAAGCCTGTAAATGGTTGCTGTTCCTTATCATCTGAATGGCACCCAGCCTTTGTCATGGGCTTAACAGACTTCATTAGGATTTGTCTAAAGATTCTGTTCCTGTCAATTACCTACTTAGTGACAAGAGCCTGTCTGTCGATGGGGTCAGTCTCTCAGGGGATTTGACCTGGGCAGGTTTTGAAAATTAGTGTTTGTAATGGGCTGTCCCATCTCCTCACCTCCCTATCCTCACAGCCAAACTGACCAAAGGGCTGCATACCTTTTACTTGGCTGCCTCCAGTGCTATTTGAAAGAGCACTAGAGGTATTCAGTTCCGTTAAAAATCATTAATTGGTACTTGCTGCCTGCAAGACGCACACACACTTGGAAGTTGTTTACCACCTAGTAGGAAAGGTAGGCAAGAAACAGAAAATTCCATCATACTTTGCTTGCCAGTGGTGTCAATCAAGATGAGGACAGTGGGCTGTGATTGTCCTGAAGGAGATGTCACCTAAAGTGAATCTCAAAGGATAAATAGACATTCTTTATATTTAGGAAGAGGGAGACAGTCTAAATTTTATTTATTTATTTATTTTTCCCCCAAAGCCCCAGTAGATAGTTGTATATCATAGTTGCACATCCTTCTAGTTGCTGTATGTGGGACGCGGCCTCAGCATGGCCGGAGAAACGGTGCGTCGGCGCGTGCCCGGGATCCGAACCCAGGCCGCCAGCAGCGGAGTGCGCGCACTTAACTGCTAAGCCAGGGGGCCGGCCCCAAGAAGAGGGAGACATTCTAAGCAGAGGGAATGGCGTGAGCAAAAATATGCAGATCTGAAACAACATCGTGTAGCCAGAAAACTTAATCTATGTAGTGTATTGTATCAAAAGTCTCAGGGGCCGGCTCGGTGGTGCAGCGGTTAAGTGCACGCGGTCCGCTGCAGCAGCCCGGGGTTCGCAGGTTCGGATCCTGGGCACGCACCAATGCACCACTTGTCAAGCCATGCTGTGGCGGCGTCCCATATAAAGTAGAAGAAGATGGGCACGGATGTTAGCCCAGGGCCAGTCTTCCTCAGCAAAAAAGAGGAGGATTGGCATCCCATAGCTCAGGTTAGCTCAGGGCTGATCTTCCTCACAGAAAAAAAAAAAAAGTGTCAGAGGTCAGCAGTGCCTAGATGGAGGCATCTGGAGAGGTAACAATAACAAAAGATACTTCTAATGGAATATTTCCAGGATATCATGCTAAAGCAATTTAGCTCTATTTATTCAACAACCTTCTGAGGTGCCTACTATTTTTACAAGTGGGAAAACTGAAGCTCAGAGAGGCTAGGTCACTAACACTCACTGTTGCACAGCTAATGAGTGGCAGTGTTGGATTCAAACCCAGTTCAGCTTCAGAGCCCAAGCTGAGCATTGAGATTAGACATAGGTGTCAAATTACAGAAGGCCTTAATTGCTACTTTGAAGAAAGTTGGCCCTGTCCTATAAGTGATAGGAAGCCACTAAAAGGAATTTAAGCAAGGAGAGTGACTAAGGGTCAGAAAATTTGAGATTACAGGCCCTACTCTAATCAGGCTGATTGTCACTTCAGGCAAATCCCTTTCCTTCTCTGTTTTTTTAATCTGTAGAATTAGGATAATGATAAAGGGCTAATCCTAAAGATCCCTTTCAGCTCTTTGAGTTTTTTGCTTCTTTAACTGGGGATGGGGAAGGGGCTAGATTCCTGACTGGTGAGACTGGTAGGCACTTTCTCTGTGTGCTTTGTTCTTCTTTGTATATGCTTTAAACGTGGTGTACCTTTTGCCTGGAATGTCATCTTGCTTCCCTCCTGTCTTTCCAAATACTTTCTAACTATAGCCTCCCAAACCCCTTGTCTTAACTCCTACAGTGCTACTAAGTAAGTTAGCTGTATCTCACTTTGGACCCTAATTATATACTATCTTGTATTCTTTGCTAGTTGTTTCCTTTGCAATCTTTTCTTCCCATGTATATTTTGGGCCTCTCTTCTTCTACTTTTTAGTTTCTCTTACCCCCTATGGCACCTAACACAGTCTTGGTTACAAGGGGGTCTTGGAGAAAATCTTGTTAATCATTTTCTTTCTCTTCTGACAGTGTGTGTGAGTACAGCAAAGAAAATCTTATGACTCCCTCCAACATGGGAGTGATCTTTGGGCCCACTCTGATGAGAGCTCAGGAGGACACTGTGGCTGCCATGATGAACATCAAATTCCAGAACATTGTGGTAGAAATCCTAATCGAGCACTTCATCAAGGTATGTTTTTCCTGTCCTCACCATCACTCCTCCAAACATGTGACACTTTCCCCTAGCCACCTTTTAGAGTTGTGTCTCCCTCCCTGGCTCAAGTTGATAATGGAAAGAAATTCCATTATAATATAATGACATTTAATAGCATTTCTGACCCTGTGAAATGCATTCATTTAGCAAATATTGCTTGATCATGTAACTGCTTTATTTTCAGGCATCATGTTAGATGATATAGAAGAAGAAAAAGTCACTGCCCATGCCTTTAAGAAGTTCACAGTGTAATATGGAAATAGCAATGTAAACAAAGGAAAATAAATGATAGGTATGAAAGTACGCAAAAGTGTATGTACAGTGAAACCATAAAGAAAACAATACCTATACATTTAAGCTTCATCTCATTCTGAAAGAATTTAAGGTGGTATGTTTTATATGGTATATAAAATATGAGGTAGTGTACATTATAATTAAGTCAAATGAAAAAGGAAAAGTAAGGATAGAGACAGGAAATGAACCCAGGAATGAGGCTAGACAAGAAACATTGACAAGTGCTGTACACTTGCTACAGATGGCCCTACATTTGACTCTAAGCTTTCTAGCAGCTGGTGCCATCTAGCAGAGTATAATTCAATAAAACTTTTCTGTAGGGGATTGGGGGCTGATGATATAGTCCAAGTGGTATCCACAGTTCAATTTACAGCTCTGCCACTTACTAGATGTATTAGATGGGGTACATGTTAGGCTGCTAAGACTCCACATACAAAAACACAGTGGCTCCAACAGAAGAGATATTTATTTCTTGTTTGTGGAATAGTCCAACAAGGTGGTCCAGGGCTGGTATGGTGACTTGACAGGGGCAGGAACCCATGTTCCTTCTTTCTTGTTGTTCTGCCATCTCTAAGGTGCTGCTCCATCTGTATGACCAAGTACCTTCTACATTATATCAATTGAGAAGATGAAAGAAAGGGAAATGGAGGATACAACCATTTCCTTTAAGGCCATGAACTGGAAGTCACACATATCACTTTCATTTACATACCATTTGTGAGAATTTAATCTTATAGTCACATCTAGCTATAAGAGAGGCAGAGAAGTATAGTTATTATTTGGGGCAGCCGTGTGCCCAGCTAAGACTTTGGTTCTTTTAGTAAAAGAAGAAAGAGAGAATGGATATTGGAGAACAACTGGCATTCTCTGCCATATTATCTGTGTTACATCAAACAACTTAGCTTCTCTGATACTCATTTTTTTAGTTAAAACATTAAAATGATAATAAACACATGCTATGTGACAGTCACATGTCCAAGGCCATTTAGCTAGTGACAGAGCTGGGATTTAAATCCAAGTAGCCTGGCTCAGAGTTGAAGTACTTAATCACTATGCAGTGCTGTCTCACCAATCATTTTGGTACAGTGATATTATTAGGTATATACAGGGTACTTTGGGATTATCAAGGATGGGTACTTGCAGAGAAGTACAACCTATGTCAATATTGAAGGTGGAAATAAAGGGAAATAGGGAAAGAGAATTTCAAGGAGATGGCTCAGAATGAACAAAGGCTGAAGGGCCTAAAACCCCAAACCATTTGGTATTGTTGGAACATGAAATAGGAATAGGAGTGGCAGCAGATTTTATTGGAGGAAGACAGGGGCCAGGTACTAAAAGGACTAGACTTTGCCTAGTTGAGGAGTTTAGAATGTTTGGAATTGTTCCTGCAGGCTTGAGAAAGCATTGTTTGAAAGTAGAGTAGTATGATGGATAGACTTATATTCAGGAGACATTATCTTGGCTGTGATATGAAGGATAGATCACAGAGTTAGAGGGTAGTGCCATAGTGTGAGCAATAAATAATTGTAGTCTGTGTCAGGGTAGCGGGAAGAACAGGGAGGCAAAAGCAGTAGGATTTGGTGATTGGAAGTGGAAAATGTGAGAGAGGGAGATATCTGAATCCTGGATTTCTGATTTGGCTGTCTGGATGAATGGGGCTGTTCTTTATATATATAAGAAATACAGAATGGAAAGGTTTTGGGGAGATGGAGAAAAGCTCAGTTTGGGGGAGGTTGGATTTGAGATTCCTGAGAGATATCCAGAGAGCAATATCTAGGAAGGAACTTAGTTGACTGTGAATCTGAAGCAGAGATTGGCAAACTTTTGCTTAAAGAACTATATAGTAAATATTTTTGGCTTTGCAGGTCATAGATCTCTGTCACAACTACTCATCCTCACCTCTGTACTGGGAAAGCAGTCATAGACAACACATAAACAAATGAATGTTCCAACAGAACTATTTACAAAATAGGCAACAGGCCCGTGAGCTGTAATTTCCTGAGCCTTGGTCTAAAGCCCAGATATCATTTATTGATTAATTGGCTGATTCATTCCCTCTAACAAATATGTATTGAATACCCACTCTTTGCCAGGTACTGTTTTAGGCACCAGAGGTACAGCCCTTGTGATGTTGGTTGGAATTTATATTCTAAAGAAAGTAGAAAAACAGTATTCAAAATGAAGTAAAATATATAATGTGTTAGATGGTAATGAGCATTAAGAAGAAAAATAAAGCAGAGAAGCGGAATAGGAAGAGTTGGGAAGTGGTTTTGCAATTTTAAATACTGTGACCAGGAAGGCCTCATTGAGAAGATAACCTTTGAGCAGAGACCCATAGGAAATAAAGGAGTGATTCATTCAGATATCTGGGGGAAAAGCATTCTAGGCTGAGGAAATGGTAAGCGCAAAATCCCTGAGGCAGAAGTGTGCCTGTCATGTTCAAGGAACCACAAGGAGGCCAGATTGGCTAGAATGGATTAAGCAAAAGAAGAAATAGAAGAAGATGGATTCAGAGAGGAAATGGAGAAGGAAAGCTAAGTAGATCCTATAGGGCCTTAGAATCCATTGGAAGAATTTTTACTTTGCTATCTGAGTTAGATAAATTTCTCTGGTTTTTGACCAGAGAAATGACATGATTTGGCTTATGTTTAAAAGGACTATTCTGGATACTGTGTGGAGAATAGCTGTAGGGGAACAAAGGTAGAAACAAGGAGACTAATTAGGAGGCTCTTTGAATAATGCAATCAAGAAATGATTGTACCTTGGATGAGGGTGGTAACAGTGGAGATCTGAGAAGTGCTCAGATTCCAAATATATTTTGAAGGCAGAGCCAACATGATTTGCTGACAAATCATGTGGAATGTGGGAAAAAGAGAAGAATCATGGGTAATTTAAAGGCTTTTTATCTGAGCAACTGCAAGGATGAAGTTGCCATTTACTGAGATGGATAAGGCTGGGGGAGGAGCAGATGTGAAAAAAAAAGAGCAAGAGTTCAGTTTGGGACAAGTTAAGGTAGATATGACTATGAGACGTCTGAGGTCAGAGAAGGGAATAGGATTAGAGAAATAGAGTTAGCCTTCAATGGCATAGAGGTGTTGTTTAAAACCATGTGAGTGAATATTCTTGCCTAAGAAATACTTGTACCAAAAGGGTAAATGTTAGACCAAGGATTGAAATCTAGGGAGTGCCTATGTTTGAAAGGCTAATAGAAGAGACTACAAAACAGACTGGGAAAGAATAGTCAGTGACAGGAGAACTAGGAGATAGGGGAGCCCTGGACTCCTGGAAAGGAGAGTTTTAGGAAGGGAAGAGTGGACAGTAGTTCCAATTTCCCAAGCCATGTCATGGAGGACAAGCACTGAAAAGTATCTACTGCTTTAAATATTTTTAAATTTTTAAAATATAAGCAATACGTGTACATGGTAAAAATTTCAAACCATGGAGAAAGTATAGAATGAAAAACAATTCTACCTTTTACCTATGATTAACCCCTAGTTCCAATCCTCATTTCAATAAATTCTCATTTGTCATTTTGGCAAAGACAAAAGGTGTATATGTATTATATATATACATATATATATTATATATTAGACATATATTATAATATATATTATATATTATATATATTATAATATATATATTATAATACACACACATATACATTAATACATTTGATAGATCTCAATATGCATATATTATTCCTCTACACGGTACAGCTAGAAACCCTAGACATTATATATAAAAACAACACAAGAAGACTCTGAAATAGAGAGGGAAGAAGGCATACCAGACCAGCTAGGGACCTTGGGACCTGAGGAATGACATAGCCATGAGTCACCTATGTTTTGTTTTTGCCTCATATCTCCCAGGTTGGGTAGTGTAGAAGCTGACAACCTAAGAACACCAGCAGGTGCAGTCAAAAAAGATCCCAACAAAAGCCCGCTCTCTCTAGTCAAAGGACCTGGAAAGCAACAGCCTAACAACACAGAAAAATTTTAGATAATAACCTCTCTACTCCTGAAAAACATCACAGAAAAAATTGCTCCCCCACCTCCATCCCTGCCAGCTAAGGCTGAGTGGAGGGCCTAGACTTCTACCTTTGCCAGTCTGTAACAAGGCACGTGGGTCCCCCTCCCCCTGCCCCATGTGGTGGTATCAAGAAGGCCAAGTGGGGAACCAGACTTTCATCCTCACCTGGTGATAATGAGACACCCTTCCCTACTCCCTTTGGTGTCACTGGAGACGACATGAAGCACCTGGACTCCCATGCCTGTTTAGCACTGGAGTAGTGTCAGACAAGACCTGGTAGGAAAACAGGGATTTCACCACCACTCAGTATTAATAAGACTACCACACTGTGGTGTCAGTGGAGAGGAGACCATGTAAAGAACAGCATTCCTCTCATTAGACACCCTTCCCCCTCCAACCAGAGTGGTATCAACAGAGGCCTAGTGAGGAGCCTAAACTCCTACTCCTGCCTAGCAATAACAAAGAATCCTTCCTCCCACTGGGATGTTAGTGGAGGCCAAGTAGAAAACCTGGACTTCTACTCCATCCTGACAGTAATGAGGCAGTGCTCCTCCTCCCCTGCAGAGTCAGTATCAGAGGAGGCCTGCTATTACAAAAGATGTAAGTAAGAACAAGACTCTCATAATACCCAAAATGTGCAGGCTTCCATTGAA